CTAAGAAATTGTCGCTTTTCACAGCGATACGAATTCATTCCCCAAGAACGAGAAGCATGTTAGTGAACAAAATCAGTCATTGTAACTATAACACAAAGCTTAACTTCAACGGAGCGAACATCGAAAAACTCAAGGTTAGACTTTACGAAACGAATCTCTGGACCACGGTGCACATCTTGTCCGAAGAAATTCTTTAACTAATTGCGACTTGTGCCACGGAGTGTTAAACAACATACTATATTTAAAACTACACAGAGTAACGGCCAAGAAGAACCAAGCTTCTCGTCAAAATCAGGCATGGAGGCCCAATGAATGTGCGTCTCGTCATGATCATTCACATCGTAAGCAGCGACCAAGTTATCCTAGTTCTCCCCCCGCGTTAGAAGTAATATCCACCTGCAAATAAATTGGATATCAGAAGCTCAACAGATCAAACACGTTTAAATTATTGCCTAATAGATAAAGGCCGAGGAAAAGCATTCGGGGATTGTCCTCAAAGCTCTAGTTACAGTCGATTTACTCAAAACATCGAATACTTGCTAGTAAACGCTACTTCAAATAGTACAGTGAACAATGAAAAGTATAAAAATCAGACTCAACTACTAAATGAATGCATTCTGCGAGACCGAGTGTAAAAATGAACATGAATCTGGAACAATTCTTCTCTTATGAAAATTCCACGGAATGGTTTAAGAAATCATGACTAAAAAGGCATCGAATAAATCTTGGAAGCCATTGTAGACAAATAAGTGGAAGGTAGGCATGGCGCAAATGTTTCCCTCTCCGAATCTTAACTTAATCACAAACATTACTTAAGTACACACAATAGCAGATACCTTAGCGAGCCTAATAAAAGCCCTGTATTATAACGTAGCTCCTTACAGCAAAACGAATGTTATGAAGGAAAAACTAGGATTTTTCTAACGCTTTCAATGCTCTTTGCACTACACTGGACAGTTCCACACTAATATGAATTAAATCAGCGCTCATGGCATCTCGATTCCGAACTATCAGACGGTAGTCCTAGATAAAATTGAACGACTGCTTCACCATCCAAGCACATGGTGGGCTCAGTTTGACTGGGCACAACGATAATGTACAACTGTGGGATCGAGTTATTTTCCCAACTAACATAAGATGTATCCTTCGTTGCTTAATCTTCTCGATTTAGGCTTGCAAAAGTATTCTCCGACTATCTATAAATTGGAAATGCACACACCCACGTGATAGTGCAAAGGAAAGGAGCATGTGGGAGACCGGACGAAAAGCTGGTGTATGATGTGCTAGCAAACCCCGTCTTTCCGGAAATTTGTAGTGGTTTGGATTTTATCTGTTATCAACTTAAGCATACTACGCTGAGTTTAACTTATTTTGTGCTATTTGACAGAAAAAAGGCGAAATATGGAGTACAACGAATGGTAAATATCGTGAAGAAATAAAGACAAAAATTTCCAATGCTGATAAAAACTGCAAGAATTACACAAATGATTATTTTAAAATGGCACAAAGAGTTTTAAAAGTGGAAGAAAGACAACACCAGGACAATAGAGTCTCGAATACATACACCAAATTAACAAAAAGGCCTTGTAATGAAAAATAGAAAAAAAGTAAACATTGCTGGAGGTGACTGAATGAAAACCTGGCCTGAACAATGACTCGCGGTGGTCTACCGATGTATCGAGCCAGTGCCGATATCCTTGCAGGCAATCCACCTCCTTTCAACTGGAAACACCCAATTCGAAGTGTTGGTTGATCGGATGGATCGATGTTAATGACCAAACTCGTGTTAACGACAATGCCGACCACTGGCTCCGCTACTGAGGCCTTTTCCAAGAAACAGTTCACCGGTGTCATAGACGGCGTTGAATACGTGGCGATTTGTCGTCTCAGCCACTCCGATGACAACATACCTTATACTTCTTGCCTGCATGATCAAGTCTTACATCGAGGACTCAGGTGCAAATGTGTGTTGCATTGTAGGTAAAGATCCTCACGTTAGGTCCCTGCGAATCAGGCAGCCCAGAATAGCTGAGTATTTAGCAGCCTTTATGCACTCCTCGTACCCATCGTAGCAAGCGCTCTTTCGGTGTCAGGCGAATGAGACCCAATTATCTTATTGTGTTCGGTGCTTGATACATACGTATATGTTGCTGTTTTCCTGAGTAGAATGGGAGATTACTTGTTGGATGCGACTCCTAACCGCCTCCCATATGCTTTCCTGTCATTTGATGCTTTTTCCCGAACAGAAAATCCGCATAAACGAAAACACACCCACACACGTATGTGTTAATAAATTATCGTAAACAAAGAAGGTCCAGCCAACGGTTCACCTCCTCACTGTGTTGGGCGGTGTTCCAGGGTGTTGTGCTGCGATGTGGAGCAAGCGGATTCATCCTCCCATTAATTTCTCAAGTTGAGAAGAAGTTCGACGTTTGCATGAAGAAGCCCAGCTAAGAGTAAACCAATTTCAGAATCCATAACAGTACCGGTATCAAACTAGTTGGCAACTCTCCCTCTGATCAACAAGGGCGGTGACTGCCTGTGGTGGTGACGACCTGAGCCAGACTTGTTCTTGCTTACCTCGGCATTCCATGGAACAATAATGGTTAAACCAGCAAAATTTTGAAACAATGGAAATTATGCTGGGGCGCGCATAACCAGTAAAAACGGGTCATCCAACTATCCAAGTGCGTAAACAAAGAAGGTATGTGCTAAATCAGCGGATTAGAAAACAATATCAGACAAATCAGCGCTTGTGGCATCTCGATTTTGAACCATTCAACACTAGTCCCAAATAGAACTGAACGACTGCTTCAATACCCGAGTACTTGGCGGGCTCAGTTTGACTGTGCACAATGGTGGTGTAGAACTATACGATCGAGTTATTTTGTCAAAAAAAAACATGTAAGACACTACCATATGTCTCAATATGGATGACACATGAATTGCTTTTTAACGGCTGATCAAAGTGAGAGATATGGTAGCCAAAGGAACACAATCTTCTTGACGCAAAGAGGGCGCAAAACATAAAAGAGTTGTATATGCCAATGTTCAAAGAATATGCATCATTCCATGGAACTAAGCTTCTCACCGACATTCTCAAAACCGTTCGACAGTACAGCACTTTGGGTCGGAATGGCAACTCATTTCCTGTAAGATACACATTGAAAGCATCTTCAAAACTGGAACATTTCAAAGTGGACCACAACGCCTGTGAACTAGGAAGAAAGCCAGAGTAAAGGCGTCAACAAAGATATGGGCAACGTCCAGTAAATGCGAATCAACATAGGAAAATTACAAAACTAATCGGTTTCTGTGGACAGTCAACAGAGAAGAACATTAGAGCGAGCTGTGCTTTGTGAAGCCTACGCTCGGTGAGGGCAGAGACTACAAATGCGGGACGGTAGCTCCATCGGAAGATATTTCGAAGAAGCCGCGTTGTAATTGCAGATTACGACACAGAATCCTGATAAAGAAAAGCAAAAAGGGATAACTAGAACACTTGCTTTGGAAATTCAACGCAGTTGTCCTCGATGAAAATATCACAACAACTCCATTGTGCAATACGGAAAACTTACTAGATTCGCGCAACTCTACAGTTTCGTTCGGCTTGAGTCTCATATTTTTCACCTGAGGTGCACCGCCAGAGGTCTAAGATATCCCGCTTTCAAGAATTGAACGACGACGTCTCAGCTCGACGGACTAAATGAGGCACATATGAGATGCAAAAATAGCAAATAAGTGTTATAGAAGGTCTCCTTAACATAAGAAAAATCATTTACTCATTACAAGATCAGGTTTCTTTAAAAACATATTGTACTCTAAGAGATGCCAGACCATAGAGAGCCTATTCCACCCAACGGTTTACCGCCTCATTGTGGCTGGGAGGTGTTCCTGGGTGTCGGACTGCGATGTACAGCTGGAGGATTCGTCTCCCCGTCAGGGTCTCCCAAGCTGAGAAGGAGTCCGGCGTTTTCATCAGGAAACCTAGCTAAGAATAAACCAATACCACGATTCACCACCGCCCTGGCATCGAATTAGTCTCATGGTGACAAATCTTCCTCTGATCCACAAGGGCTGCGACTGCCTGTCGCGGCGGCGACCCGGGGCAGACTTTGGCCAGACTGAGCTCGGGACTCCAGGGAACCACAAAGGCTTAACCAGCAAGTCTCCGAGAAATGGTGATTATGCTGGGACCCACACAACTGGTGAGGACGAGCCATTCAAGTATCAGGTAAATATTAAATGAGATTATTGGTCAGACAACCATCCCATATCACCCACATGACAAGCCAATTTTTTGATCCCTAAGACTTGAAATCAACTTTAAGACTGCTTTAACACAAAGTATGACGAAACACAATGGGTTCTGCACTAAGACAGAATCAGTGGGACGGTAAAATTTATTCCGTTCAATGATAACGCCCTCATTGAGCCAAATATTGCAGAAGGAACCGCGAAATTCAAGTCTCTTAAAAAAAGTTGGAGAACCAGAGGATAACACGTCATCTATGACAAACGGTTAAATCTAAGAAGAATCGGAAAACATTTTCAAATAGATAGAGGTTACCAGGTACCGGATACTTTCAAACCAAAAATGGTCCCCTTTGTGTCTAGCTCCTCTATGTTGTTAGGCGGTCACATTTCCTCAGTTTTCCTACATAAAAAAGTAAAGTGGGAGGTTCCATACTTCACCAGAGAAAACGAAGAAACAAGATGTATATTAGAATTAAAATTACCATTTTTCCACCTAACGGTTTACCGCCTCATCGTGGCTGGGAGGTGGGACTTCAGAGGTCGAACGACGGAGCGCGTCAACAGTGGGAACGAACGATTCGGTTGACATTAGCCTAAAACCAATAAAAACAAGGGAGTCGTTGATATATCTTTCCATTTGTTGAGAGCTTAGACTAGATCTAATGGCTATAGTGGTCTGGTACCGTTTTACCCTTCATAGGATCCCACCATCAATAACAATCTCAAGCACTGAACAGTGAGTGCTAAGGGGTAAAATAATCGGTATGATCAAAAGCAAAATCAGATACTCTGCCAGAGTTGGGCTTCAAGACTATCATAACAGTGTAGGCCGCAAATAAGGAAAGAAGCCTTAAATTCAACGACAATGATAAGAACACAAAGTATGAGCTAGCAAGTCGTCTACTGAGGTCGCCGAAATATCCAACGCGGAATGTCAATTTGTGGGTAGTCACGTAGTAGCTTGAGAACTGTAGTCAACTAATGAATAGTGAGATCGTGACTATCTGGAGGTGACCTCGCGGAACCTTCAGCGAGTGCTTAGAACTTCCATTCTCCGCAGTATTTTTCTGCAGTACATGAAGGTTCGTTTGCATTATAATATTCTACACTGATTCATTCATAAACATCAGCTTTGATGCGAAAAATCAAGTTGACACTATCACTAAACGTCCATTGCCTCCCCTTCTAATTTTATCTCACACAAAGGCAGAACGTTAAACTTCCGTTTACGTGGGATTCATCTCACAAATAGTTACAACCTCATTACAGCTGAGATGTCGCTCGCTGAGGAAGTTTGATCCGCAAGAAGCGACTCTTACAAAGAAGACAATGAGGATTTTGCGGAAAGGGTGGTGCTCTTCGTGTTCCTGAAGCAAACCGCACTCACAGAGCAGCAAAAGCACACGAAAGAAAGGAGTGGAGTTCATTGATGAAAGCCGAATGTTCGAAGGGATAACACCTGACACAGCTGATAGCCTACATGGCCTCCTAATAAGGGAAATGAACATTCTCAACAAAAAGCAAGAAATTTTTGACAACTCGAGGACTTATGAGGTTGAACACAGAGCATGGCTATAGAATAGTTTTGCTGTATTGCTCTAAGGTCAAGGGGTGGAACGCATTAGAACACGAAAGAGAACTGAGTAATGATCGATGTTAGTGAAGAAGTTGCAGATTTGGAAGGCAATGTGCAACCACAGATGATTCCGATATAGTAGTGGGACAGAAATTAAGTGGATTAAAGAGACGACTGTACTGATGATGAAGTCGCGGTGAGTGGTCTAACAAAGTATTGTAGCAGTGGTAGTCACCGATGCATAAATCTTACAGTGGCCTGTGTCACTCACTATTTTGTAGTTTTCGGTGGTGGAATAGTAAGTTGAACTGAATACAAGGTAGGGTAGATATAACGACTAGCGAAGGCCTCAGTGGTACAGTGGGCAACATGTGAGCTACTCATAAAAGTAACCGCGGGTACGAATCTAGCCTGGGATCTGAGTTTTGCATTATATCTTATAATTGAGAATATATTTCAGACAATAGCTTCCCACGAAAAAATAACGGGCAGCATATAAGAACCTATACATTGCATGATGACTGTTAATTAGTCATTTGTGTCTCTTCTTCACTCTCTTCTTAGGGGACTAATGCATAAAGTTGGAAAACTATAACAGCTAGCATTATTTAAGGTACAAAATGGAAGAAAAAGTGCAATTCTGTAATAATAGCAAAACTTAGTGTAACATTGACCCAGTAAATAAAGAAAAAACAATGCAAATTAGAGTTTTATATCACGAATGTATCAGGTGCTATCGCTTCGAACATACAACATATAAAACTCTGATTTGCATTGTTTTTCTTTATTTACTTCGTTTCAGTGCAGACCAGAGTTTTATATCAATGAACAGTTGTTCAGCACTGAAATTTGAATATAGAAAGAACGAAACGACAATAACTCGCAGCCTTCTTCACCACAATCTTTCAAGGTATCTTAGGGCCGGCTCAGAGAAACGTTGTCAATCTTTTCAAAGTGTCCTCTCTCCTTTGCCCTCCTGTGAAACTATAGACATTACGAAAAAAAAACACGAGAAAGTATTCCAATGTGACAGTTATAGAAAAGGAACTTCAACTCTATTCATCTCAAATTCAACAAAACAAGAAAAATGGAAACATTCGCTAGCATATGCACTCTCTTCGCATTTATTGGATATCCTGGCGATTCAGTTGTGATCTAGTCCTTTGCCCTTATACTGAGAAATAACACAACATGAAGTATAGCTACCTAAATACCTGGAATTATAGCAACCGCTGGCATCCAATCGATATTCGGTCATGAATCGGTCACGCTGGATCGATGTATACCCAATAGAACAGAATGGGTAGAACCCATGTGAGAACCTGAAAAGCCATCGTCAACCAACAATTTCAAGGCAAAGACACTGTGCAAGAGTTACTGAATAAACACATCCTCTTACAACATGTTTCCGTGAAAAGGTGCATCGAGAAAAACAGAAATGCAAACCGCAGACGAGGTTTTCAAATATAGTTGTTGTACAACAGAGTTCTTCAAGTGCTCAAAGAACCTGTTCCGTAGACAGTTATAGAGACCGTTACGAACGACGAAAGCGAACCGAGGACCGTGAAGCTCAGCAAACATTGTCATGAATTCAAGTTCAACACCAAGTTCCCGGATCCAATGAGCCCTTGACTGAGAAATGTACCTAAACTCCAGTGACGGTATTCTAGTTGGTATATCACGGGGAAAAAAACCACAAGGAATCAAAAAGCCTTCGATCGACAAGTAGAGACATAAGACGCATTTTTATTAGTACAACGAATTCACGACTGTTTAAAAGGAAAAATTCTCTTCAATAGAGTCAGACGAAAACAGCGAAAGAGTATAATCACTACACATGAATGTTTAACAACGAACGATAGCACTATTTTCGAAACAACATCATACAAACAAACGGTCCTCAAAGGAGATATTCTGACCGCTCAAAAACCAATACAAAAATAACGAAGAAATGCACAATTTAACTACTTCTTAGGCACCGAAGCACAGATCTTCCCTGGTTTCGAAGGACGAAAAAACTAAGATAAAAAAGTAAAATAAAAGCATTCCTAGGAGAGAACAACACAACAAACTACACTTGAGAAATAGAAAAACCACATCGAACACGAGGAACAGAGAAAGCTACAAACGAAAATAGTGACACTGTACCTTCTACATCAGGAGTGAACGGCCATGTACACTTACTCGTCAGATCCATGCTGAACAACGGACTGCCCCTCCTTTGGTTGCATCATTTCCTTCAAAACTCCAGTCAGCAGTAGGATTTACAAAATTTCTACTTTTCGAAAAAGGTAAGCATAGAGAATGAACAAAAAATGTGCCTCAAACGCTCTAAGTGACTTTGTAATCACATTAGCCAGCTCACTGATGTTACCAACATGTTAAAATAACTTCTAGATTACCTAGGATGGATCAAACCGCTCCTAATACTGACGCTGTCGTGCTCTGAACATAAATGACCGCGTAGGATCATTGATATGTTCAACCAAATCGACTTCGTATTCATAACCTGAAGCAAAGTAAACTAGACGTGGCAACAGTGCTAATGATGACTAGCCCGCATAGACAAGAAACGCCTAGTCATCCATGGAGTCACCAGATACTGTGTAACCGACAAGAAACCACCATGAGAAAGGTGAAGTAGTTAACAACGGAATAAATCGGATCATTTTCTCCACCTTTCCAAAAAATAGTGAGTTCTCGTAAACATTCAAGGCCACTATTGCATCAACCTTTAGTCAGATCAAAATGCAACATGCCGTAAACAATTTGGCATGTTCGCAAAGCATACTGATTTCAATTCGCAGATAATGCGCGATTTTTAACAACATGTCCTGATTTAGAACGATTTTCTCCACAAATATTTCATTAGTCCTACAAATTTTTTGGAATATTTTACTATTAAACCGAGCACTTCTATTCTACATGTATTAAGGACGGCAGAGCTCAAGAAGAGTTGTTTTCCACGAATTATAATTTAACGAAAACATAATGAACGACAAAGCTTCCCAAGCGGACCAACACCCGAAGACTACGCTATGCAACGAACTTCTTCAAGCGCCGCTATAGAAGAAAGAAGGCATATCTTGCACTGACTCGCAGTGGTCTACCGATGTATCAAATCAATTATGTCCCACTGGTTACAGGACGGCTCTGAGGAAGACGAAATCACCAGAACATCCGCAGTCAACCAACAACACCAACAACAACGACTACGACAACAACAACGACAACGAGAAACTGTGCCAACCTCGCATCAGCTCAACAAGATCAGTTTATAAGACCATATAAAAATATGTCAAATAAGTCATTGCTTCACTCCGAGACAAGTCCGGCGGCAATTTGCTGGCTTCGAAGGGACGGAACGCTTGGCAAGGACGGGGTGCAGAACCAAACCAGATACGTGTCTATTGTGGAGCACCACTAACTACTAAGCTGAAAGTTTCGTCACTGGAACGGCTTCATCTAAGAGTCATAGGATGACTACCTGCCTTCTATATCGACAATGTGATATAGAAACTATGTCAAACTAAAGTTACTGAAACTGTCTCCAGACTGTTCTGCAAAAATACACGACCATTGCCAAGAATCCCTTGCTTATTGTACAGGATAAAAAATTATTGATAATGATGGAAGTAATGGAACGTTCTTGCTTTGAGGATATTCCCAACCATGCGCATTAAGTTTCGTGCGCAAGTGCTGAAAATTCAAGAGACGCTACACATAACTAATAAAAAACTCGCCGTAAACGTATAGCTTTAGCGTCGACTGCGAAAAATTTGAGCTCTCCTGAGCTAATTTTCTATTTTAACCTCTTCTGTAACCACTCGTTTAAGAAACATACAATGGAGAGTAGCCCCTAATAAACTATGAGTGGAAACTATAATCACTGGTAGCAGTGGGAAGCAAAGGCCTCTTTCCAGAATTTGCCTTCTTGTTGTATGCAACACAATTATTGGAAGGTCCAGATGGAGGATTTTAAACAATTTTGCTTAGAATTACAGTAACAAATAGCAATGCTAATCTTCGAAATAATGTTAAACCTCTAGGTGACGGGTGCTTTTCCCGACCTTCCGACTTGCAATATCAGCAATTCGAGCACGCTTTGCGTGCAGCCACAGACAATCCGCGATAAAGGAATCGTTTTTTGAAGAGAAGGCACCTAAAATTCACTCAAATATTTTCAATTACAGCCAGTTAAAAGTTACGCGTTAGGAAAAACTTGATTGAAATAACTGGCACACAATTGCAATAAAACACGTCAGATGATGGTAGATGAAATCACCGAAACGAATTCAAACAACTGAAATAAACTGAAACTGAAAATAACGTTTAGCTAAAATTCAAAACAGAAACTTAACCGCCTTTTACAGTGCGTCTTCCGCAACTCATTTAATTGACGCCTCCTTGTTGTGAGTTCTTACAACGTTCAGAATTCGACTGGATGTAGACTTCTAAAGTGGGTAGATTTCACCAAGGGAAAACGATATCTTTAAGAGGAGCTTCCATTTAGTTCGAACAAAGATATCCCTAGGAGTTCACTTTTGATAAGTTCAACGACCAGGCTGCATGATTATGCTGGAACCTACGAATTACCATATGCATACGATTTCAGAACAGTTTTTAAACATATCCGGTCTTTTTAACTGGAAGATCTCCTTACTGGTACTGCAAGCTGAAGCCATAGGTTTACTCCGATCATAATCTTTTTGATGAATGTCATTTATGAAGCCTATGGGAACCTTTCATGCTTTCTGGCAGCGTTTCATACTTGGATGGCCTGTCTTCACTAGTTGTGCGGACCCCAGTATAGTCTCCACTCTCTGGAGCTTTGCTGGTTTAGACAATGTGGTTGCCTGGAGTGCCAAGGGCAACTTGCCCAAAATCTGCCCAGGTCGTTACCACCACAGAGAGTCGCCGCTCTTGTGGATCAGAGCGAAACTTGCCACCATGTGACCAGTTTGATAGCAAAACGGTGGTGGCTTCTGGTATTAATTTACTCTTAGCTGGGCTTCCTAATGGAAACGCCGGACTCCTCAGCTTGGATGACACTGCTCGAGGGATGAATCTTCCCGCTGTACATCGCTGTCCTACACCCAGAAACACCTCCCAGCCACGTTAAGGCGGTAAAGCGTTGGAAGCGGAGGCGTTCCTAGGTAAACCATACAGTCACCTACTCTTGCTTATTAGTTCTGAATTCTACAGTCTCCAGAAGTTTTCAACAACTTTAACAAACGAAGTAAACGATGACCATAAGTTATCAATTCACTCCAAATTCGTTAAGAAAAACGTATTTTTCCATTAAGGCCTTCGTCAAGAGATCTTCTTGTCGAGTCCGTTGTTTTCCTTTTGTGCCGTTGTCACGCTACTGCGTCCACTCGCTCTAATGGCTCTTATCTCTGGCTTAGAAGGCATGGCACCTCTGGCCTAGCGGACTTTTGCCATGCACAAGTGTCTCAGACCTTGAAATGATGATGTAAAGTGTGGTTCCGAATTTCCCAGATTGAGCTCACACTTACCCTTTTGATCCTTTTGTAGTATAGATAAAGCTTGTTTGCTGGATGCGGCTATGAATCGCTGCCCACGTACATCCCACTCATCACTGAAGGTTTTTGGGAGTTGGATTGACTTGTAAAATATATTCCACTTTGTTTAACGTTTTGTTTTCTGCCTTATATAATTTTCATGGCGGGTTACTGAGCGAAATACAACCACAACGTTGCTGAGATATTTGCAAAACTCTGGACCGCAGGTGTCTATGGTGGAGAACGAACGCGCTATTATCCTTTCCGGGGAGTAACGCGTTCACCACCACACCATGCGGGTCCTTTGTTTCGCACGTCTCTCAGCTATTTCTTTCGATCTTTTTGCCACAGCAATCACCCGTCAGCGGGGTTGATCTGGGGAGCGCAAATCGGCATAGAACCCAGTTAAGCTATGGCTGTAATTGAAATCACAATGTTTAACGTTTTGTTTTCTGCCTTCACAGAAGAAGCATATGGCCACTTCTTTA